ATTTTAAATCTCATGACAATAAATTATTTCAAGTGCCAAATTCCTATGTCATGTAATTCTAGATATGTCCGAGTCATCTTGTCCCATGTGCTGACTCAGTCATGAAAAAAAGCAGAAAGAGACAGCAGAAAGAGACAAAAATATTGATTAAAAAAGCAGTGCTCATTTTATTTGAACAACTAAGTTCAAATAAACTAACTAAGTAGGTTGGACCATTTATGTCACTGTCCAGGATACTACAGAACTAATGCACCAGAAAGTGGTGCTATGGGGGAGCGCAGACATCTAACTCCTACCTGCCTTTTCAAAAATAGAGCTTGGTGAAATGAAGTCAAGTCTCTGAAAAATCAGATTCCTCTTTCTGCCTGCGCTCACTGTTCATCTGCCTTTCTCCTCTCTCTCTCTCTCTCTTTATTTTTTTCTTCCTTTTTTTCCTGATGTTGATTTTGCCCTCTGTGGCTAGTAAATATTCTATTTTTTGCATAGTCTCTAGTCAATTTATGCTAGCCAAGTGCCAGTGACCTCTTATGCCCATCCATGGCACACATATGCTTGTCCACAGCAGAATTTTTAAGAAGTAATGAGGCATAGAGGACTGTGAGTTCTGCACCTAAGCTGCTTCTCCTCTGATTCACCAGGATAACTTGTGTAACATGCAAGAGCTTACGAAGTCAGCCACGAAAGAAAACAACCCCCCTTTCCTCTAAAGTACCCCACTCCGAGAAGGGAGTGCCACTACCAGGGGAAATTCTAAAGTACCCCACTCCGTCAAAACTGAGGAAGTTGAAGTACTTAAAAACATGTGGGACAGCAATAGATCAGTCCATGTCTTTGTTACAGTACAGTCTTGGCAGGCGATGCAATTATCAGTTAAATGAGCAAAATCTGCTATGGATCTCATTTACACTGCTGAGATCTCATGTGGATTTGGTGATATTCCCTTCATATCCACTTGTTGCAGGGATGCTGCCCTGAGATCATGATGGTACTTCTGTACTGTTCTTCTCATGTGAGGCTTTTCATAGGAGACACTTGAGGAACACTGACTGCACTGCATATAAAACTGAACATAAACCAATGCTTAGATATGGAAGTTAATAATGAGAAAACACTATCACAGTGACAAAAAAGAGCAGTTTCATGTATGAAGAGCTGAAAGCATCCTTCTATGTATCTCATTATTGTTAAACAAGAATTAGGTCAACCTGAGACTTCAGCTGACTCAAGTACATTGAAGCATTTGAAGTGTTCGTCATCTATAAAATAAGCCTCACAGTGTTGCACTGGATTTGAGCTGAAATAGTGGTGATTCAAAAGCTAAGAGATGGTGTAACTAAGAATGTTTCAAATAACGCTCACAGCATTTAAAAGAGGCAGTCATCTTATTATGATCTTAAGGAAGGTAAGAGATGCTTCTTTCTTAGTTATATACATGTCTGGAGAAAAAAAAATTAAAAATGCAAACCTATGATATTGACTCCCAGGACATTTTTATAAGTCTACGATTACATTAGTTATATCCCAGCCCATCTATACCCTTATTGACACTTTCATATCTTTTGACCACTCCCTAGAAGTGTAGAAATATCAAGAATAATTGCATTCCTACAAACTCTATGAAAATCAGGCATCAGAGGGAGGTGAGAAGGGAGTGCCACTACCAGGGGAAAGGCAAAGAGGCATTATTTCCCTTGCAACAGGTTAAGTGCAAGTCAGCATCCATCCAATAGCAGGCCAACTCAAATACATGAGCTCCAGATGAGACACAGCATATATGAACTCTTGCTTGGCACGTAACTCATAAGGACTATAGATGTGTACGGGAAAAATTCCAATAATTGGGAAAGGAAAAAAAATAAAGGAAACCCTGTTTTCGTTGACCTTGCTTGTGAGGAGACACTTGCATTGGGTCCAGCTGAGCATTATGAAAAGTTTTTAGGAAAGGTTTTCCCATGAGAATGGAGCAGCACTGGAGCAAACAGAGAGGCTCTAACACCTACATCCTTAGAGATTTTCAAACTCAGTTGGACGAGGCCCTGATCAGAAGACATAGCAGGAGATTGGACAAGATGACTCTAGAGTCTCATCCAACTTGAATTAATTATGCAGACAAAATGTGTGTATAACATGCATTCCTTTTTGTTTCAAGTCATCAGGATCATTCCTTTTATACATGTTCTGTAGCAAAAAGACAACTGAGATGTGATCAGGTGAGAAGTCTTCTACAGCCGATGAAATAGCACTGAAATATGCTAATAAGAGAATATGACTTCCTGTAAAAGGAAAAGTTTCTGGATACCAATGGAAAAGGTTCCAGAGCAGGGTTTACCTGCTCTGGGTTTAGAACTAGTGCTAGAGTAGTGAGTAACCTGATCAAAGATGTCCACTATTTAGAAATTTTCACTTGATCTACCATCCTGAATATCTTCTATAGCCAGTGAGGAAAAAATATGTATTTTAGGGCATAATTAATCTGATTTACTACTCTTCTGAATGTCATAAGTAATGACTGTTATACAGTCCACTGACTGTATAAGTCCAGATGACTAGCTCAGACACAGACACTTACAGTGGTGATATCTATCTTTAGCCAGATGGCTCCCTCACAGCATGACCATAGACACAGCTAACTGCAAGACTTCCTGACCCAGGGGTTAAGAAAGTGAGTGGTTAAGGAATCTAGCTTTATACATCTCTCTGGACCTCTTAATCACCATGCTCAGCTTTTTCGTATCTCATATCTGGAGTTCAGTTCTGCCTACCTACTGTTACAGGAACTAGACCTCACTTACATCCTTCCTTTCCTACGGTTTACAAGAAACAAACACAGTCATAATTGTCCTTGAAGAATGCTAAGTGACACTGTGCATGCAGACAGAAAAGTCATTATGAATAGTCAGTAAAAAAGATCAATGTCTTTGGTCAATTATGACTGTAAAAATCTCATTCATCTGTCCTTGTAGAGGCTCTTGTATGGTTCTAAATTCTCCACAAAACTTTTTACCAATAATTGAAATAAAATAGAACCAGAAGGTCAGGGAAAG